GAAATACTTGCTTGATAAAAAGAAAAGGTGTAATGAAGAAGGTCTTATGTTCAGAAGAAGCATGAAAAACTGAAAAAAAAACAAAGTTGAATGCTTTGTAGGGACAACGAGCTGAGTGTTAATATTAATCTGATCACAATATACTTAACATTTTTTCCTTTCTGATATGAGTTGATATTTTCAGTTTGCCGCGACAACCTACAATGTTTATCGTAAGACAAAACACATCAAAAGTCTGGAGAGATAAAACATTTCGTGCAAACACATTCCAGGCGACATTTCATAATATCACTTTTCCTCTATTATGGATGACAGGGAGAGAGAAAAAAGGTTGCTCTCCTTCGAATATCCAATTCTGAGCCCGGGCTCATCTGCACCGGTCAAGAAATAATTCATAAAAAATTCAAAAAATTTGTGCATGGTAGACAATTTCGTGCGTGAGGTGCGCTCCAAATTTCAGAGTATTTGGACATTTGAGTAGCTCTCAGAAAAAAAACAAATTGAGTCAAAAAGTACACTATTTAACAGACCCCAAATTTGTCTTTTTTGCCGAGAGCTACTCAGATGTCCAAATAATTTGAAATTTGGACTGGACACCACGCACCAAATTATCTACCATGCCAAAAAAATTAGATTTTTTTTTAATTTTTCTAGTATTTATTTTGATTTTTTTTATTCAGCGCAGATGCAGATGCTCCTGGAAGCCAAAACGCCTCACTCGCTCTCCTTCCTCTAGATTGATAGTTTTATTTTTCCTTAGGGCATCTCCAACGGTCCAAGAGGTCGCGTCTGTCTGTGCCGCTTTCCCGTCCGGTCAAATCGCGGCATCAATGTCGGCCACTCCATGCTCTGGGCCGATATGAATGCCGCGCGGCAAGCGGCGCGAGGAGTGGGATGGAAAAAATGGGCGGGTGGGAGGTTTTGTTGGGCCAGTATGGTCAGAAGCTGGATTGGGAGTTGTCCGGGTTCCCGCAAACCTTCCCCTTGTTTGTTTCCGGTTTGCGGGAGAAAACGCGTCCGGACCGTGCCGCGGACCGATACAGGTCCATGTTGGATGGCTCCCGTGGTCCGGACAGCGCGGTCCGGACGGATACGGGCGGTTTGCGGGTCCGCCTTGGAGTTCCCGTGTGGGCCAACTGTAGTTTTGTGATGTGATTACTCCCACATTAAAATTTCAGATTGAGTTGGACTATTGCCTCATGACACATTCAGATCTGCTGTTTAATTATGTAAAAAGAGAACGAAAGCATAATATGGGTGATATGAATGTGTGGGCCATCTCTACAAAAAATTGGAATTTTCTCATCGTTGTCCCATGTTTATGGGTTTGCCATCTCTCTAAAAAATGATCAAGTTTTGGTTTACTGGATCCACCTTGAAATTTATGCAGTCCTGCGGGAGTACGCAAACTGGTCAACATGCCGCGTGTGTGACATGGCGGTGATTGTGGCTTCAGGTAGAATTTGTGAAGCTAGCTAGACAGTTGCTATGACCATTTGTTCTTTTTGTTTATTATAATAGATGATGGTTTAAACATTTTTTACAGACTTTGAACGGCATAATATTGTGACATAGGCGGGTTGTAAGAAATGTCACATCATATATTTTTCTCTAGTTAAAGGAGAGAGGAGAGGCTACCTCCATCCGAAAATATAAGACGTTTTTGTAGCCGAGGTAGTACTATTTTTGTATCTGTGTTGAGTCAGAAATTATGAAATGTTTCGTGGTCAAACTGATGATGATACTTTCACATTATCGGGCTAAAAATATCTTATATTCTGTGTTCAAAGCTAGATAAGTTTGACCGCAGAATACATTTGGAGGAGATGATTTTATTGAATATTATTCTACTTTAAGTCCAGACACTACTTCTCAGTAATAGTATGCCAAGATTACAGTTTCACCCTAATACAAGAAAGCTTGGGAAGCTGCATGAGGCAGAAACATGCAAGAACCTAACCGTTTATCCCAAAAAGCTCACCAAGTGTGAAGATTCAAATCTGCAGTCACATTCTAATTATATACTCAAATTTTGGAGAAAAGAACATCTGCAATATCACCTTGCAACATATATATTAAAAAAAACTAATTCTTCATATATTCTCATCCTCCGAATACAGAAGCCAAGGAGCAACACATCAGTAAGAATGCAATATATATTCCCATTTCCCAATGCAAGTATTCCTAAATATATAATTGATGCCTAGTTAAAACTACTACACTAAACATGCCCAAGCGAATAGAACAGCTTGTGGCTTTTTGCTCAATTGAGTAATCTCAACTTTACAAGTAGATTAAGATGAGATGCCACAAAAAATCCCTTAGGTTTTTGTATCGTCATCCAAGAATTTTGTACGTCAAGTAATACTTGCACCGTTTGTTTACTTGCGATACAAAATATCGCAGTTGTCAGGCCTACACAGCAAGGTCAGCAAAGGTGTGCCATCAGATGATATCAGGTTGCCACTTCCAATCTCCAGTGGTTCAGGGGTTGTGGTTGACGACCAATAGCTCCGAACTATATGGAAAGCACCCTTCCCTGATTCTGATCGAGGGAAGAAATCAAGGCGCTTTACTTGCAAACCTCCAGCCGTCAAGCCTTCGCCTAGAGTTTCGAGTCGCAGCGCGATGCCAAGTGCATACGTTAGAGCCCTCATTGCTAGCGCCGATGCTTTAACGTCCAGGGGACGCACCTCTTTCCAGCAATACTGTTACAAAACCATAATATGTGCAACGGTGAGCTCAGTATGTAAATGGTAAATTCAGTATTGGTTAACTTATTTTGGTCATGATTATCTTATTACAACTCAGGGATAATTGTTTCCGGGATTTTACATGCTTATGCAGAGAAAATTCTCAACTTATTTTGGTCATGATTATCTTATTACAACTCAGGGATAATTGTTTCCGGGACTTTACATGCTTATGCAGAGAAAATTCTCAACGTTGATAATACTAGTTGACTATTCGAGAAAAGTACTAGGGGTAAGAAATTCTAACCTGATTGACATTCATCTTTCCGGGGATAAATGGGTTGTAATCATCTATTCGCGTACGGATCTCAGTCTCTGCCAGCAATCTTAGGAAGGAAATAACTGGAAAAAAAGTGTTAAGCGAGAGAGAAGTGGACAAACAAAACATCTTGGCAAGCATGTAGTATCCTTACCCCTGAGTGGCATCATCTCCTGTAGACTTCTCTTCTGCAACTCGTCAGAACTAAGACTGCAAATGATAAAAGCAATTATTTTTAATCCCAAACGTAACTACAAAGAAGCAAAGGGATCTTGAAACTTAATGTCATGTCTTGTCAAAGAAAATCAATAGAAAATATCAAGTTCAAAGCTCATACCCATTTGCAACAGAATTGACCAAATGATTCAACTCCTGAAATAACATGCAGAAAACCGGTTAAGTATATGATCAAAGCTATATTATGTCGACAAAATCATATTCGCTTAGCATACTGCATACAGCAGGTGCAACAAACAAACATCTCAGCGAAATATCACGCCAACTGCTCCTAATGCTCCACTATTTTTGCAGTGAATGCTTGAGCTGAACAGCATCCATACTGTAGCAAGAATGAAAAGTGGAGTTTTTAGTCAAGTGGAATATGATGACAGGCCATAGTATTATTAAGGAGCTCTTAAGTTGGTGTGGTCCAGTAGACCAGTACTCTCCACCATGTCATCTACGCAATGTTTAAAATTTTATAAATAGCCTGTTGTTGCATTTACAGCATGAAATGCTGAGCTATTAAATAATTTCCATGATCAGAGCTAATAAGCCTAAAACTGATATGTCCACTGTTCATGCAGCAGGTACAGTTCCTCTATGCTACATGCGACAAAACTACTTGAACTTGTAAACATTTCTTCTCTATACTCTTCTTAGATCCCATACATACTATCCTGAAGATTAAGTAATTCAGATACTAGAAAATAAACATTTACAGAACTTTCCCAGTCTTTCCTTAAATTTTACATGTATGGCAGCTCCCTGAGCGCTTATAGGTTTAGTCTCTTCTCACTCTGCATAACCGTCCTTGCCTGTTTAGTGGGCGTATTTTGGAATTCGCTAAGACCAAGGAGTTTTGTATTTGCCGGAACTTTGTGCTGTTCTTTCGATAAGTAATAGAATGTTCAGGCTGGGCCAAATTTTGCCTTAGTTCAGTCATAGATATGACCAAATGCAAAATCTATCTTCTATTATACATCTCACATTCTCACTGCATATATTTCATACTCGGAACAGTAAACAAAGATGTGTACTACCGTAAAAAAGCAAGAGTAGCATGGCTTTTTCAATGTGAGGCTTGTTCTTCATTAAAGATATTTTCTGATGATGTGGAAGGGGTCAGATAACTTTCAGAACAGATTCAGCAAGGGCACTGGATAATTCAGGCCACATAAGGGACATCAAGTTATTTTGGCAAGTATTATAAATCATAGATAGTTTGATTTTCAGTAAATGCCAAAACTTATTCCAGAAGAATTAGGGTTACGACATCAGAAAAAAAAAAAGCTTCTGTGAGCTATGAGAATACATACAGAAGCAACACTTGAAAAGTATTCTTCAGGATTTAAGAAGTATGCTTTGTCCCATTTCAGACGACAGAAATTCTCTCTGGACACTGCCACATGTTCCATTAGACGAGTAACTTCAGCTTGACTATCTTGTATTTGTCCAAGATTTTCCTGTTTACAAGCATAGTCATATCAAACTTCGATGCAAAACAAAAAAGCAACAGCACAAAAAACCTAGTAACTTAGATGGTTACCAAGTAGGAGAAAAAGAAAGCTCTGTAGAAACAGCTGCCATCTCCACGAGTTCGTTTGAAATGCACATAGCGCTGACAAAGAATCTGCACAAAACTAGTTTTGCACATTAGCATAAAACAATTAAATAATGAGAATGCTCCTGTAGTGCCATGCAAACTTACCTTGATCATTTCCTGGACAGTGTCATTATCTGGATAATCCTCAACCAAATCCAAGAGTGGTTCCTGCCATAGAACAAGTAAGTACGGCAAAAAAGGACTAACTATTTAGTAGATTCATCTGAATTAATAATGGATTCGAATAAGTAATGCTGAAGCACAAGGCGCAAAATTGTAAGCCTAAGAAATTCTATTATGGTTTTCATGCACCAATCATCCACTTATTTAGGAGGAAAATGACACGAGGTCTTCATGGAGAAAAGCTATGTATAACATTAGATAAGGATCATCGATCACAATGTGCAAAACTAAAACTTATTTTAAGTCACATAAGAACTTCTCCTGTACCCTAACTCACATTATTGGTTAAGACACATATTGACCATGTCAAGAGTAGGTTCCAGTTTCCACTTGTAATTGCGCAGAATAACATCTATTAAAATTAACATCAAAAGATTCAAATAAGAAGTCAATGTCTTCCCTAGATAGTACCATAGACCATAGTTCTCTAGGGGAGTGATTGCAGTTTGAACATTTTAAGGTTACATGTAACAAACACTCAAACAAGGCGAATGCTAATAAAATTAGCATGTTAAGCTGACAAATTTCAAGATAACAATGTTACTCTCCGACAAGGAATAACTGGGACAGTGAAGAAGCTCACTGGAAATATTTCAAGATCTAACTCTTTAAAATCTAGTGAAAGTTTATTCACTGCATTGTTGTGAACAGAGGAGCTATGATTTTCTCACCTGGAATTCTAATGCCCATGGACGAGCTAAGGGCCGCCGGAAAACACCACTGACACTGAGAACACGGCGGCCCCTCGGTGGTCGGAGGTATGTTCTCTTGCCGTCCAGCAGCTGATTCCAGTTTTTCCACAGAGAAAAGTATTCATTTTTGTTGAGCGGCACCGAGTCATGCCGAACAATACCATGCGGGAGATTCTTCTTTTGACCACTCATGAACAATGGAATGTAGAATTTCTGATCATCTGGTAATTCATCCTATAAACAATTGCAGACAGGGAGTTGTAAAGGATACTTTCCAGCACAAATAAGGCCCATAATTACCCGAAAAGAAACAAGTGTAGCAACAACTACAGCAACAGATTCAGACTCCAACTAATGCAATCAACATTCAACAACGAGACAACTATAATTCCAGCACTGTGAGGCATCCTTTTCTGTGTTCAGAAACAACTGGACAAATAACTCAAGTCACCAAGTCATGGAATTGAACTAGGAAGTAGCAGCAAAGGAACACAAATTCTCACCTCATCCTCCTGCACCGCATCCAAATCCGTCCCATCGTCTTCGGGCCAATCATCGTCATCATCATCCTGTCCTTCATACTAGAAAAATGGCATGACATTGTAAGAAAAGAAAAGTTTGCAGCACAAGTGCAGAGAACGGTGTAAAAAAGTGCAGTGAGACCCAGAACTCCCGGCCCGGACAACAGAGGGAAATCCAACAGCCTTCAGTTTCCAAGTCACGCGCGCGGTTGGACCAAGAACTCGCAGCAATCAAAGGAACGCAATTTCTGGATAGAAGCCCCGACGAATTGGTTGGAGGGCTCGAAATCAGAATCGAACAACCGCACCAATTCGAAGAACGTAGCCAAGAGATTGATAACCAAACTACGACGACGACGCCCGATCCCGCAGCAGCCAAGAAAGCGTCCCCCCACGAACTGGGCGCAGGAAATGCCCGAAAGCGGGCCAAGAACGAAGCCGAGGCCACCCGGACGCACCACCGAATCGCGCTGCACGAACGAGATACCGGCGAAACGGTCGCCGAGCAACCATCGCCTCGCCGCTCACCCGGGAGACAGCAGGAGGAAGCAAGAAACTCACCGTGTAACTGAAGATGGCGGTCGGCGGCGGCTGACGCGGGTGCGGCGAGGTGGGAAGCGCCGCGGGGTCGGGGGAGGGCGACGGCGCGGGCGGCGGCGTCTCCGCTGCTTCCCGCCCTGTCCTTGTATAGCTTGACCTTGAATTTTATCCCCATTTCTTTCGCTCCGGGAGATTCCTTTTCTGCCCCGCCGAGAAACACTGCCTTCTTCCGGCCTCGCCCCTCGGTTCCTGCAG